TTTTATTTACCATTTTGTAATTCAACAGTGTACGATATACAGCTGACAGGACTAAGACATTTCAATGGATTTTGGCCCTAAAGGTTGAAGAAGAAGAACAGACATGGTTAGATAGATAGACAGATAGATATGATAGAAGGTACCAGAAGACCTGTGTTCTCTTTTCTCACTTGTGCTTTTTTCTTCTCCACTCCTCCCATGAAACAATTCACATTGGCATAGCAACAACACAGCATTTTCATTTTCATCCACTGACACTTGGACAGTTTCTTTCAGCCAGACCACTGAAAAAGACATTTACCATTCTTGCTTTTTTTTCCCAAAATGAAAATGTAAATTATTATTCTAATTATTTTTTTTTCTTGTTGCTTGTAAAAAAAAAACTAATGATTTCTTTAAAGTGCTGAAACATGAGATTATGCTTGTATGAGCAGTAGTAAGAAATTCAAGAGGTAATGTTCTGTAATTTACAGAGAACCACAGACGCAAAGGTAAAATCACAGTTTTGTTTTTAGTACAGTGGAGCAGTTATGCTGTGAATTTGTGTGCAAAAATGGTCTGAACCTTCATGTAGTTTATGTTCTTCAGCATCAGTGACTTTCCACCTCTATACAACCCTGTACAGTGACAGTAAGCAATTTGAAAACATGGGTCAATTATTAGCTGAACCATTCCCACGTGTGTTTTCTTCAGCTTTCCTGGTGGAGCCAAATGGGTCGGGTCTTATTCTTTCTTCTTATGCACTAATCAGAGGTCCACTTTACCAATTAATCGATTAAAATAGTAACAAGACCCTTTTCAGATACATGTATGTCATATAATTGGCTAAAATGTCAACATAAAACAATGTTATTATTCGTCAGAGCTGCACAAGAATGAAAATGTGACTTAATGGGTCCTGACGTTGATTCAGTCTTGGTTGCAGAGTAATTTTGGTGTTTTGATTTTGCTCATTTTCTAACGTTTTCTAACAACTAGACAGAAAAAGCCAGACTGCTCAGTTTAAGGGCCACAGGATATTAAAAGGTAAACAGTGATGTACGACTGTTGGCACTGCACTGTGTGAAATAGTTATTTAAGTACATGTAATACTGTTTTTGTATTTTTCTTTAAAAAAAAAGAAAAAAAAGCGTTGTTATGTAGCTGCAGCCGCGTCTAGACCAGAGCTCACAGTAAAAACTAACCATTCTTTTGTAGTTCAAGTTTCGATCCAAAGCTTTTTGTTTGGCAATGCTTTTAATATCAGCTGGCTTTATCTTAATGTTCCTATGAATACAACTTCCAAAACAAAAACAAAAAAAGTAGTGTCAATGAACATGGATAAACAATGATTAAAATCCGAAGATAAAATACGTAGTTTTCTTTCTCTTCTTTTAGTACAAAATGTTTTTTTTTTTCCTTAAAAGATAGACTGTATATTATTAGCAGAGTAGGACATGGCTAGTTCTGATAGATTAGAGGTACATTGACATCAACACTGACACTACACCTGCTCTACACGCAGGCTCAGCAGTAAGAGCTAATCCACTACACACAGAGTACACAATACACATGACATCGTCTACATTACACTACAAGAAGAATGACAAATCAAAAACAAAATGAAACAATACCCGCCCCTCCCTGAACCCGCAAAAAAAAAACAAAAAACACACGTACCCAACCCGAAAAATCAAAAGCAAAGATAAACACACACATACACACAGTCCGATTATATATTTTTTTTTACATTACTGTACAAAGGGAGGAAGAGTTGCCAGAGGGCCAGCTGAGATGGAGAGGGTTGGGATATATAGAGAGATAGCATGGTACATGGCGGCTAAGCTTCACTTACTACAGCATGACCACACGAGACAGGCAATCACAAACAGGAAACAGTCTGAGCTACAAGCTGTCCCAAAATACACTGAGTATAATAAGTTCATATTCACCTTTTTTCAGCAAATAAAACCTCATTTCAAGAGTGTAACTTGGAATTTCTAATATCATTTTTCTGAAGAGGCAACACAATAATATATTCAGATTAGAGGATGGTGGTAATGTATCGTTTCATAGAGCACCTGGTTTCGCAGTAATTTTAATTAAAAAAATAAACACTACTACAAAATACTGTACGCCACGTGTGGTGTGAAAAGTTTAGGAATGAAACAAAACAGATGACTCACTACAGACCAAAGCTACAATTCTCCATCTATGGGAATAGCCACTGGATGTTTCTATAATCTGAGAACCTTCCTGTACAGAAGCCTGATAAACACCTGGTGGAGGTGTGTGCTTGTTTCAGAATGCCCACTGTGCTTATCATAATCAACCCCACTATGGTTGTGGTTATGTGCTTAACATCAGCGTCTTTGTAGGTTTTTCTGCGGCAATCATCAAAGCGACAATTTGCAGATTTAAGGACATGATGTGCTGGACTACCTGTTGCCTGGCAACAAGCTTTTTTTTTATTTTTTATATTGTGCTCTCTAAACAAATAAGATATAACATGTAAATTGAGCTTTAGAGGTGGCTTTTGTTACCTTTGGACAGAGCAAGGCTAGCTGTTCCCCCCCTCCCCCGTTTCCAGTATTTATGCTAAGCTAAGCTAACCGGCTGCTGGCTTATTTAGCATACAGACATGAGAGTGGTATCAATCTTCTCATCTTACTCTCAGAAAGAACGCGAGTAAGCATAGTTCCCAAAATGTTGAACTTTTCCTTTAAGTCTCTCTACATATAAATATGCTGTATACAATAATACAGTTAACGTATATTACTGTGAATGTGTCCCTTGCTCGTACTGGTATCACTCTAGTTATTCAAGCTGTGAAACAACCCCGACGCTGCAATGTGAAGAAACAGCCAGAGCTGATGCAACCTCCAAAACCCCTCTCCCTGCCTGTGAAGCTGAACGCATCTCACAATCACCTGAGCAGGTGTCCAACAAAGCATTTTAGGATGATAATACCAAGGAACATGTGGTGCAGATCAAATCCTGGCACAGCTGTTTAATCTGTCTTTATGCCGCCTTAAAACCTCTGCCATCACCACACTACTACAATAATAGAGTCCTGGATGCTTTCCAATCAGACACTCTGCATGCTAAAGACTAAAGAGACCCCCTCTCTATCCTATCACCCCCCCCCACCCCCACCCCCCAACAAAACAAGTCACAGATGAGGAATGGTAAACATGGTTAATTATGATTCTGTAGTTTTTACTTTTTGTACAAAATAAACATATGCTGTCTTTATAATTATTTACTAAGTTACTTTACAATAATGGTAGAGGTAAAAAGGAGGATTCTACTGAGAGAACGATACTATACAGCTACATTTAAAACTACATAATTCATTGAAGTTCTTTATTCTATATTCTTCTGGAAACAAGCTGCTTTCACTCTGCTTTTCTGTCTCTCCATCAGTCCCAGCACAGCTTGGCTCAGAGCTTTAAAACAAGTGTCTGTAAATACATTAAAGGTTCCACTGACTGTAAGAGACTGACACCAGATCAGTCTCTGAGATATATATATATGTTACCAAAAACATGTGCAGGACTCAGGTAACGTAGGTAATGTTTTTGGTAACATGCCTGAATGGGGCAGATTGCTACGACCCACACGGGGAGACACACACTCCAACAAAGCCTCTCACTTGTTTACCTCCTCGAGCCCGGATTCCTCCGTCACAGACCACATCCCAAGATGCATTTCACTCAAAAAGAATGCCTGGAAGACTTAAGAAGAGATGGCACTTCTATATTTAGAGTTGCATCCACCTGTTTTGTGTGTGTGTGTGTGTGTGTGTGTGTGTGCAGGCGTTTTTTCGACAGCGGGGTGATTTCAGTCCCTATAATGTTAACAGGCCACCTTAGTCGAGACAAGGTTTCCACAGGCGAGGAACAACGACGACAACAAACCACAAAGTTTAACTTCCACTTGGACCCTGAGAAATGGCCATGGGATCTCTTCTGTCAAAAAACTGGGAGCAAATATGTTGTGTGTGTGTGTGTGTGTGTGTGTGTGTGTGTGTGTAGGCAGAGAGTTTACAGTACAGTTAAAGTTCACTGATGTTTCTCTGCTGAGTTCTCAAAGTTTAAGCAGCTTTAGTGGAAAAAAAGTTACAAATGGAGGAAAAATTTCCACAGAAAATCAGCCCTAAGTGTCAGTCGCCATCTCAGGTGTTAAATATTTGTGCTCTGTAGAACTTGTTTTTTTTTGTTTTTTTTAAAAGAAGCAGCAGCATAAAAAACAACAGGCTTAGTCTTAAGCTGAGATCAACTATGGTTGAGGTCACTGTGTGCTGTAAAATGTACAATAGTGTGAGTGTATGAGTGTGAATGAGTGTATCCGCCTCTTTTTTCTGGCCATGAAAATTGCGACTGCTTCCGTCCTTTCGGCATCTTTAAACTGTAAATGGCCAGTACAGGCACAGTTCACCCTCCTCCTCTATGTTACAGCACCACGACGAGTCTCTAGCTGTCAAATCACTGCCGCTAGAAAGTCACCAATCCCAAACAGACCCAGCTAACAGAATAAAGGAGAACAGTGTGTGTCTCTATGTTGCTGCATGCACAAAACAACCACATGCAGCTTCACAATCTACTGTACCTCTAACTGCATATGATGATGACATATACAAGTCTTACAAAAAAATGAAAGGAAAAACAAACTGCATTATTAAATTATGTTGAACAAATTAACAACCCACTCACACACACGCACACACTAACATACACACAAATCTTTTGGATGATGACCCAATTTTTTCTTCCTTTCGTTTTTTTTTTTCTTCATTTATCTAGAGACGACACACAGATAGATAGAAGAGGTTAGGATAGATATAATAAGCCCTTACAATATGTAAAGGTCTCCAGCGAATGGGATCTCCCCCACAGAGGACTGTGGGAAAGTGGGGTGAGGATGGAGGAGAAGGGAGGAAAAAGGGAGGAAGAGTAGGAGGAGAACGGGGGGGGGTTGCGGGGGCCGTGCCCAGTAGCGCTGACAGAGTGGGGTGCCGTCTATGCGCTGGGGTTGGGGTTGTTGTGTGTGTTGGTGGAGCCGTTGCTTCCCTGGATGGTGAGGCTGATCTCATCCTTCCTCTCCTTCTCCTTCTCCTCCTCCTTCAGCTCCTCCTTCAGCTCCTCCTTCTCCTTGAGGGGACGAGCCTCCACAGTGTCTTCGGAGGCCATGGGGGCGTAGCGGCCTGTCCGGTGCTCCTGCAGGGCAGGGCCCCACTTTGGATGTGATTTGCAGGCAAACTTCAACCGCTGAGAGAGGAACAGGAAGAGAGACACATCAGTCAGAGCTGCACAAGAATGAAAATGTGACTTAATGGGTCCTGACGTTGATTCAGTCTTGGTTGCAGAGTAATTTTGGTGTTTTGATTTTGCTCTTTTTCTAACGTTTTCTTCCCAGATATCAAGGGAAACTTTAGTGAGAGTCATTTAGACCAACAAGTTGTATGAGAGGATGAGAGGATCAGACGGAGAGATTCATCAGATCAACTAATGACTAAGTTAAAAATGTCAATAGTTAAAGCTGCATTCATCAACTGACATTTCACATGTTAGTTCTCCTGCTTTCAGCGTTTCCATACACAGTTACAATTCCAGTGTTTGAACAAGGCTTGAAACAAAACTTTTTCACCTAAAACAAAATTTTCAAATGCTCTCAGCAGCCAGACTCAAATTCTTTAGCTGCTTTCAGCTTTTACACTCCAGACAGTTCCAGACTTTTTAGGTTTTAGGTTGGAAGGTCCAAATATTTCAGAGCGAGGATTTCCACCGACCCTCACTCTGACAGGATAAGGAGCTGTGGTGGGGTCTGTACCTCTCTGAAGGTGGCTCCTGGGGACCTGGAGATCTTGTAGAGGGCATAGACGGGTATGCAGACCACTGAGGACAGAGCCATGGCGAAGCCGATAGCCAGAGACCAGCCGGGATACACGTAGTCATTGTAGGTGATGGGCTTGTACTGAATCACTGTGAAGATCAGGATGAACTAGGTGGACAGAAGAGAGACAGAGAAAAAGCAGAGTTTGATCATTTAGAGCAGGTGTTTAAAAAGCGGGAAACTTCAATTGTCTTTCAAAACCCATAAGTCAGTGTATTTGAGATTGGAAGTGTAGAAAGAGGGGGATGAATTTGAAATATATCGTGAAAATTGATTGTTTTCAATAATTAAGAAATACATACATATTCAGTTTGATCAACTGCGTAAAGTTTTGGCGAACATAAATGCATAAAAAAGATAATAACCAACATGTGGTCCCCATCCTGGTTACAATTCGAGCAAACAAACGGCTGCTGTTGCTACTGTGAATGTAAAAACATCACTTCCTGGACAGCTGATAATGTTCTCACTCTGCACAGGTGAAATATCTGCCGCCAGCAGCTCACCAGACATGTGTTTTTATTAAAAGTTGCAGATAATTATAACTATAAATCCTGACTGTTCCCAGCAGCAGTGAGTTTGGTCACAGTTCTAGCTGAGGCCCCAGAGAGCAGGGCATTAATCTGTGTAGTGAAATGAAAGAGAGAACAAAAGTGCCTGAAATCTGACCAGTAATCCACAACAATGCATTTCTTGGTTGGCCCAGCAGCTTAGCGCACTAATACGCCTGCTTGGGAAATACCATTGATAGCGGCTGCATGTGTCCATTTCCCAGTCAAAAAGATTTGCTTTTAGAGGTTTAAACTGGAAACAGGGCCGACAGCAGCCAAACAGATTAGTGTTGATGGCAGCTGAAATATAGGTCAGGTCCCTAACAATGTGTCAGCAAGTCAGGAAAACCGAGAAGCTCGCACTCCTTTAAATGGCTGAACCAGTGTGTGGTGTCTGTCCTGCAAAACTCCTTAAATCTGTTTCAGGACACAATGAGCAATGTTACATTTTGATTTCAGGTTCAGTCGCTATGACCGTTGTCACAGATCAGCAGGTAGGTGTGTGTGTGTGTGTGTGCGTGTTTGTGTGTGTGTGTGTTGGACTTACAGAGATGATGACAGGGGAGATGAATCTCCAGCAGACTTTGAAGAAGAGAGGAGGAGGGAATCCCAGCATCATCTCAACATCTTTAAAGTAGTTCCTGTGACCTGCAATGAAAACGAAAATGTCATCCAGCGAAGTCAGTGCACGGTTTGTCTAGTTCCTTTGACTCTCCCATCAGTTTTTATTTTAGACTGGTAAATGTCATCCATCTGTGATGTTAAAAAATCCATGGAGCAATGTTTTCACTGACCAGTAACTGGTTTCCTTTATTCTCTCTTGTCTATTTCTACTAAAGTTACAAGGGCCCCAGACTAGCTAGATAAAAAACATAAAAAACTATTTAATTTGATGGATGGATTTGTGCAAAACGAGGAACTCATAATTACTGTTTCTAATACATAATGAAACTAAATTTGTAGGAAAGTCTTGAAACTGAAAAAGGGAGTTTAAATAACTGTTAGTCGTTTGTGTTTTTTTCCCAGGATGATATCAGCCCATGACATCAGGTAGATTAGAGAGGAAAAAGGGTTTTTTTTCTAGGCCTGCATCACATACTACAATTGTGTTGTGTGTCTGCCCACTCAGCCCGTCATTGGTAGAGAAAAATCTGTATCTCTGCCTCTGGTATAATTTTCTTTCTGTGAATGTTTAACGTGGGTGTATAATGGTGAGTTTAGATAGGAGCCCTAACCAGTAATTGTAAAATTCATGTACTGACAAGGTGTCAAAGAATATTGAATTCTTGCTCTACTCAGACAGACTGACATTTACTGCTGATGCTCTGGTGACAGAAATGTTTCTGCTCTCAGTCTCAATTGTAGTTGTGCAGAAACTGTCTCTGGAGTCATTACGTCTAGGTATGGCCAATTAGTAAACCACTGAGCCGCATATGTTTTAAAATAATGTGTTCCAGGATGTGTTTTTTTTTGGTTCATGTCATGAATATACATAAAAAAAATACATATATTTCTGTATGTCCAACAAACCACTGTACTCAGTATTTCCTCCTTACCATAAACATACATGACGCAGATGCACATGATGCAGGAAATGATGACCAAAGAGAAACTAGCAGCATAGTTGTCCATCAGTAACAGCCAATAGATTCCTGCCTGCACACAGAGAACAGAGAGAGTCCAAACTGCATCTCCATTAGGGAAAACAAGCTGTATTCAAAGTCATCTGACTGTGTTTAGGACTCACCTGTGTTGTTAGTGGCACTCCGAGCAGGAATCCAACTACGGCCACTGACAGCGTGACTACAGTCTTGTTTCTGATGATCCAGTCTGTACCGATCTCGTCGACGATGGCCGTCACCAGGGTCTCCAGCAGACAGAACTAAAAGAACAGAGATGAAAGGCTGATGTTAAATTCAATGAGACGTGAAACTGGACAACTGTTGCACAAATTTCCCCTTACATAATAGGAACTGGGCCACCACAGTGTTGGTAGTGGTGGATTTTCGTGTTATCAGTTTTTACACACTCATTACTGAGCTGAAGCTAATAACATTCATTCTTAGAAGAAAAACCGGCAATTGAAGCAGAAAAAAAAAATCTTGTTCTGCATTAAATATTCAATGTATTGTAATTTTCTAATCAAATTCAATTTAAATGCTTTAACACAGTACTTCTTAAGACTGATGCATACTGAGAGCAAATATATTTAAATTCCAATTCCAGCACTCAACTGGACGAAACAAGAATAAAAGGCCTTTAAAGGGGCTATTTTGATCGTGATTGTTGTTCGACAAGAACTTCGGCCATGGTTGTAGCACAAGACAAGAGGTTATAACACACTCTCTGTGCAGCACTACATCCTCAGGGCAGATTGGAGGCTACAATGAGCCGCTATCAGAAAGTGACGATACCAGCCAGGGCTAGCTGGTTAGTGTGCGAACTTCAGAAGAAGAAAAGACGTGATAGACACAAGAGTTAACATTGGTGTTGCTCTCCACCACTGGCGAGCTCTTGGAGAGTTAAGGAATGAAGTTTGATGTTGAACTCGCAACGTTTGTTCTAGACTGGTAAGTAAACAGCTGTTAATGCTAATGTTAGCTATGTAGCAATAGCAAAACTTACAAATAGCTCCTTTAAAGTACAAGTTTTTTTTCAAATTACAAACACGTCTGCAGACCAAAATCAATCCTGACTTCCTGATGCACCGAATTCCTGTCAGTTCTCACTCAAAACACAGCATCAGCAATGAGCTGTGGACAAAACAAACACAACTACAGACTGAAGATAACAGGATCATTTTTAACATGGATATCTGCTGAGCCGAGCATGAGCTGGAAATCAAGTGGAATTTTACAAAGCTCCAGACACAAACAAGAAAAGACACACAATCCTTATATTGTGTCTACAATCTACAGACAGCTAGTGAAAGGAATCTGTGTGTGATGATCAATATGTACTGAATGTACAGTTTGTATAGCTGTGGTTACATAAGTATTTTCAGTTTGAATCATCCCAGCATGGAAACTGCCCTTTACTGAGAGGTCAAACTGCTTCAGTATCAGATTCAAACACATTCAAAAAGAAAGAAAAGAAGAAAAAAAAACATTGAACTCAGCACCATATTTGTCCCAAAACATGATTTGTAATATCACACGAGTGACTCACTATTAAGTGTTGATGCATTAGTATGATCAGACTGGAGTTTATGTGTGGGTGTAAGAACAAATCTACAAATCTACACGTGGTGTACAAGTTTGACAGCCTCACCTGAGTCCCCAGTCCCAGGAGGATGAGCATGAAGAAGAAGAGCAGTGACCAGAGTGGTGAGATGGGAAGCAGAGTGAGGGCTTCTGGGTAGGCCACAAAGGCCAGCCCAGGGCCGTGGTCAGCCACCTCGGACACAGGGACGTTCAGGTGGTGCGCCATGAAGCCCAGGATGGAGAATATGACGAAGCCGGCGTACACGCTGGTTGCACAGTTGGTTATACTGATAATGATGCTGTCTCTGTGTGAAGAAAAGAGAAAAAACAGGTTGAGCATGAATCAAACTGCTGGAGAACAGAGCAGGAAACCAATGTACCAAGCATTGTTATCATTTATACAGTACCTGTGTACAGAAGGTATAGGATCAGAGCAAACTTGAAGGAAAGTAAAAATGCACCAATTAAAAGGAGCTATTTGTAAGTTTTGCTAGTGCTACATAGCCAACATTATCATTAACAGCTTTTAACTTACCAGTCTAGAACAAACGTTGCGAGTTCAGCATCAAACTTTATTCACTTTACTCACCAAGAGCCGTTTCCAGTGGTGGAAAGCAACCCTTTTGTTTAACTTCTATTTCTATCATTTCTTTTCTTCTACTGAAGTTAGAATGCTAACGAGCTAGCCCCGGCCTGGCTTGCTCGTCTATCACTTTCCAATACCGAGTCACTGTAGCATCCAGTCTGCCCTGAAGAAGCAGCGCCGCTCAGACGACGTCTTATAACCATTTCCACTGTAAACACAACAATGGCTTTAGCTCTCAGCAAGACTGGTAAGCGTCAGCAGCTGTTAATGCTAACGCTGGCTATGTAGCAATAGCAGAAATTACAAATTGCTCCTTTGAAGCTACAATCTCATGTTTACAGCTATAATTATATAAATGAGAGGATGAGATGAATGAAAGAGTCTGTCTTGGTTTGTCTTCTCTCTCCCCAGTGGTGACTGTCCCCAACTAGTGAGAAGGCGATACCACAAAATCTGGTTTCAATCCAGGCCACAATCACTGATCAACACCAATACTGACACTATTTTATTTTTAAAGAGGGGGGGGGGGGATCCAGTGAGTCACTAAGAGGTGAATGTGTCATTCAAAGGCTACTTCTGCTAATGATTTGCCAAACACTACACATTTCTATTTATTATTCTCAATTAACTACTTAAGCACATGCATTTTACAAAACAGGGCAGTTTTAATTAATTTTAATTGACAAGTGTTCATGAGTAAAGTGAAATCTATGAAATAATGAGGTGATTGTGATCTGACATGAGAGGGAAGCTATTCTTTGTATCAATCCCTCTGACACTCTTATCAACAGTCAAAATAACACTTAATGTGTAGAACCGCTCACCCCTGCCAACAAGATGTCTGGAAAATTACATCAAATGTGTATGATGTCTTTAAGTAAATGACGGAATAGATCAAACAGCACTTTGTAAATCCATGTATTCATTTACATGTCGACCCACCTGTCCAAGGTTGGTAAAGTGCACAAGAATTTGCCATTTTCAGTGACAAAGCAGCATTTTTCTATATAAATCACTAATTCTTGTTGCAGGCTTGAAACACCTGTTTCAGCTGCATGCTGCTGTACGTGTGGAGAAACACCTTTTCTTTACTGTTTACTTTGTTCACATTGGAATCATGTGCAAAGTGCTTTGTTTCCTCTCATTTCCCGTCAGATTCATCGTAGGGGATGTCTTTGATGACTTTCAGGTCAGCCCCTTTTTCACCTCCTGCACTGTGTGCACTTCTGCATGTGCACCAGGCGATGCTGTTACAGGAGTGCAGAGAGCGGCTCCACGGGGACGGAGCAGCAGAACACAAGCTGATTAGGCCGCCGTGCAGCTGTGTGCGCAGATAGCAAAACCTCAAGCTCCTGGCAGAGGAACAAATTATATCTTCAGCCTTTCTCCTCACCCCCGACGCCCTCACTCTGTCAGCATGTGTGGACGAGCTCAGGAGAGTAAATGACATCTTTTCCTCTCCTTATCTCCTCCTCTGTCCCCTTTACTCCATCTTAACCTTTTCCTTGGCTTCTCGTTCGTCCCCTCGGTGTTCAGGCGCAGCGCAACTAGCCTCTTAACTCGAGTCCAAAAAAGTATTATCTCTGTCCCTCCTCCTGTCTCACCTTATCTCACCTTCTCCCCCTTCTCTTTTTAGACCTGTAGCCTTGAAGTTGGCTCCTGACTACTACCCTTCTCCTCTCCCTTTCTCCATCACTCTTTAGCCCAGACTCATAAGGGGGATGCCATGCAGCCAGCAAACACTAAAACAATTTGTCTTCTCCTCTCCCTCTCTCTGGTAGTCTATTCTCTATATTTTCTCTCCCCCTTTCCTCCTCCTACTTCATCTCCCCTCTTCTCCTACGCCTCCTCACCGTCTCACTCCCCCCCCTGTCTAGTTTCTCTCATTAGTGGAAATAATAACATGCTGGTCTGTTGCTGAGACCCTGCAGCAGCATAGCCTTATGCAAAATGAGTGCGGTCATATTCACACAGGCAGAGGCAGCCAGACGCTCACACAGTAGCTGCTGGAGCACAGCGTTGCTTCAGGGTAAAATCTGACCACCTCCAATTCATACAACTTTGATGCTGAAATCTTAGTGTAAGGATTAAAGTGTAACTGCAGAAACCTCACATTTTGTAAACGCTATTCAAAATCCAACTGAATAAATTCAAACATGCACAGTCATCAAGCTTTCTGTGTTTCTGGAAAGCCAACATGTTAAGGATATTTTCCCTGACAATAGCATTAGTGTAGACACACTCTCTCAGATCACACGCACAAGCATACAGAACATTTTCAGTTGATCTCTTAAAAGGAACAGATTGACATTTTCTGCACCTTCTAACCAAGTGTTGGATGTTACAGCTACAGCCAGCAGCTCATTAGCTTAGCACAAAAAAATGGAAGCAAAAGGAAACAGCAGCTTGGGTCTGTGCAAAGGTAAAACAAACAAAAAAAATCTGCCTACTTAACATGTTAAATCTTGTTCGTTTAATATGTACAAAAAATTAAGTGTAAAAACAACAGATTGTGGTTTTACAGGGCATCGTGTGCTTTACTGACCGGAAGTATTGACTTCCTGGAGTCTCTGCTGGTTGTGTGGCAAGTCACTGCCTCTAGCCAAGAAACAGTCCAGCATATAACCTCATATAAGAACGCAACTTGTCACTTCCTACACTTTAGTATTTATAGATATTCAACAAATCAGATATATTGTGAGGTTTAGAGGTTCTAGTAAACACATTTGTTTACCTTTGGCCAGAGCCAAGCTAGCTGTTCCCCACTGTTTCCAGTCTTTATGCTAAGCTAAGTTAGCTGTCACCTGGCCTCTAGCTTCATATTCACCATACAGACATGAGACTGGTATTGATGTTCTCATCTAACACTCAGGAACAAAGCAATTTTTCAATATTTCTTAAAACGTGGAACTGTTCCTTTAAATGTGTTTGTTCTGTTTATCCAGAGTCGGGAGCACCAACCTGAAACAGTTGTTGTGGAACTTGTTGTAGGAAGCCATGGTGATGAGCCCACCCCAGGCACAGCCCAGAGAGTAAAAGATCTGCGAGGCAGCATCTCCCCACACCTACAAAAACAAACCCACATGAAGTCAAAGGCTGGACAAAAAAAATCCATTTCTATTTCCAGTTTATTTTTCCATCTGCTTGTTTGTACGAGTGAATACCTTTGCATCGAGGACCTTCTGCCACTGTGGAGTCAGGTAGTACTTGATGCCGTTGATGGCTCCATCCAGGGTGATGCCACGGATGAACAGGATGGTCAGAACCAAGTAGGGGAATGTGGCGGTGAAGTACACCACCTGGAAACACAAACACACACACACACACACACACACACACACACACACACACACACACACATACAATTAGACAAGGTAAGTCCACTGGAAATTGTAGCTTTTTGCAGCAAAACGAAACCAAGTGACAAGAGTATATTGTATATTGTACGTGTGTGTGTGTGTGTGTGTGTGTGTGTGTGTGTGTGTGTGTGTGTGTGTGTGTGTGTGTGTGTGTGTGTGTGTGTGTGTGTGTTGATGCACTGGAGAGCTGACCTTTCCAGAGGACTTAACACCCCTGATGAGACAGAGAAAGACGACACACCAGGACACAGCCAGGCAGCCCAGGATTGGGAGACGGACCTCTCCAAAGTTCCCAATGTCATCAGAGATGTTCAACACATAGTGTCTGAGAGACAGAGAGAGAAACACACAGATAAAAGAAGATATTAAAATGTTGTTGTATTAGCAGGTTTGGCTGAATTTATTTCATCAATAACAAACCAAATATTTGATGGAAATGAATTAGACACTTTAAATTTACTACTTTCCAAATTGGTGACACCTTTAGATTAACATAACGAAGTAAAGGTTCAATACAAATATAGTAGGTGAAGCAGTTTGCATTGAGCTGAGGATCCATGGGTGAGTCTAAACAACACCAACTGCAGCTACACAGTGTGAAAGCCTTTAACTACAGCTGATTAAATTCTTACAGGCAGCTGAAAGCAGCAGGATCTGAAATGCAGAATCATTACACATGATAATCCATCCTGATTAAGTCATGCGTGCAACATCAGGCTGCTGTGAAATGACCACAGAAACTTCCGCGCTGCTGCTGTCACATCAAACCGGTCGGTGATACAGTAGCTCTGTGTTCGTCTGGGTTAATATGACAACCTGAGAAAAATCTTGAGACAATTACAGTTGTCTCATTTCTCTCCTCTCTCTCTTCCCTCAGCCATCTGATCATCCATCTAATCCAGATCATCCAGATGTGTAATGTGACTCATAATTGATCACCACAGCCCACTGATTTCTGGTTCACATAAACAAACCCCTTTTTCACAAATCGCAGCTGCACCTACACGAACATTAAAAAAAAAAAAAAACAAACAGGTGCACCTGGATACACCCTCATTGATCTTACACTTCACCTCACCTGTTCTGGCTGCACCGTTAAAAAAAAACAAAAAACGAGCCCATTCCAAAAACTGACACATAATATGGGAAACCTCCTGCTTGTCGCTGTGGATCGCTCGAAAGCTGCTGCTGCTGCGCTTCCAGTCAAATCTAGTCCAAATATTTGAATGCTTTCCGCAAACACGGGGCATGTTTGAGGCGAGCTTATCTAACAGGTGCAAGTCAATTTTGACCTCTGTGTTAAATACAAACGGCCTACAAAACCAAAGAGGTCACTTGCATAACTTGGCAAAACTTACTAATCAAAATGTTCTCTCAAACAGATCATGCACGACAAACATTGTGATAATGATGTTTTTTTGTTTTTTGTACCATTTTCTGGTATCTTGGGATTGATGATCAATACTGAAAGGTTGAGTGGAGTATATATAATATATATACATACATATATAAATATATTGAATTTAAATTTGTAATACTCATACTGAGCAACACTGCACAATGGCGATCGTTTGTTCTCACTTTATTAATGACGTTTCAGTCTTCAGGCCTTCTGCAGTTAAAGTTAAAATAAGTCAAAATCCATGACTTTATTAGAACTTTTTATTGGTGTGTAAGATCTTTGTCATAAAATGCTCACACTACACAATTACAAAAATGTGTCTGTGTTTCACTAAATCAAATACAATGGTTTAAAACTGAACTATTTCATTTTTTATTTAATTTGTGTTCCAACTGTAAACGGGACTCGACACTTCACTAACTAACCACAACTCACGCGTCAGTGTGCTTCACCGTCTCCTCAGTCACTGACGAACACGAATTCATTCAAACAACTTCCGGGTTCAGAGGTCGAACATGAGTACAAGTCAAACTTCACTGCTGTACGTCCAGTACTTACTTCCAGTACTCCTCGCTGGGGCTGGTCCTCTTGGTGCGGTTGACCACCTCAGACACTCCTGCCACCAGGCTGGTGGTAGCGTTAGCCAGGCTGGCGTTGAGCTGGTGGCTGGAGCTCACCACGCCGCTGCAGTCCGGCGTGTTCCAGGGGTTGTTGCAGTAGGTCCACGGCAGCAGCTTTGTCATGGACATGAAAAAGTAGTAAAAGGCGATGCAAATGACCACGTTGTAGTAGATCCCAATGTAGGTGGACACCACCATCATGCCGTAGCCCACGCCTGAAGGGAAAGGAAGACGGGATGGAGAGAAAATGAAATGGAAAAACATTAAAACTTGAATGTGAAGTGATGTGTTTTATTCATATTCCATGTTAATGAGAAGGAACTCTAACAAGATCTTTTATAATGAGCTGAACTCTCACCTCACATCTAAACTTTACACAACAACAACTCTATCACTCTACTTTTCTGTCTTTGCCATAGTCTCATTAGTTTATCATATTAAGCACATAAGTAACCTTGGTAACGGCAAAGTTGTGACCTTTCTGTGCTGAAATGCACTTCCATCTTTAGATCGCTAATGAAGGAAAATCAGCCATGTGCCAACCTTAACCTCACCTTGACCATAACTCAAGCTTAAAGGGTCGTCAGCACCAAGACCGATAACTATAATGATTACTATAACAATAACAACGTGAGCGTCCACAACGATGAAAAATCATGTTCTGTAGAGAGACGAGCCAAACACGTACCAGCCGGATCAGATCGGCAAAATGGATTCTGATGACCTTTTATCCTGCACCTAAAAGTGTTTCCCATACCATCAATTAGCTGACAGGAAATTTGATATAGCACTTGATTTAGCTTTCATTTACCATTGTTCTTATATAGAATATGAATAAATTAGAAAAACAGATGAAAAGTAGCTGCTGCTGTGCTGCACAGATGTGGCGCTGGAAGACAAACAGCAGGCAAAGAGAGAGAGAGAGAAATGAGAGCGAGGTGCTTGTTATTTCAATAAGTAGGCTACACTTTATTGTTGATAGAAACCCATTTTACTAATCGACCCTCCTGTGTGGAACAAATACACTTTTGTATTCCCCAGAGCTACGGTTCACACATTAGTTCAGTTCTAGTTTTATTTTCTGGACGTGGCGCCTTAAACATTTGAATGTATTCGATTGGATGATTGTCAGTGTTTCTATCGTTCATCAAATCGCTTTGAAGAATGATCCCAACGATATCGTTAGCCACCGTCGTTGTCGTTATAGTTGAGGTGTGGACTCCGCCATCCACTTGAGTAAGAGTGATTTTTAAAGCTATATATTTATAGTTATCTTTATGGTTATCATTGTCGGTATGGTCGACCCTTTAACCCTAAAACTGAACAGTTAAATTTGTAGGGAATGACTTTTGACCCAAATCAGAAGGTGAGTACCAATAATGTGATTGTGTAAAAGACTTTTAAACACACATAAGTACACACTCAATCTTTGTGAGGATCCGTCATTGTCATATCACACACACACACACACACACACACACACACACACACACACACACACACACACACACCACCAACCTTTAAACATAGGACTGATCTTCCAGACTCCCAGACATCCAAGGCTGGCAAACTGACCAAAGGACAGCTCGAGGAAGAAGAGGGGAATGCCACAGAACACCAGCATGATGAAGTACGGTAGCATGAAGGCACCTGGAGGGGGAGGGGTGGAAACAATAGGACGCATACTCAATCTCTCAAGTTGCTCAATTTGCATAAATTGAGTGCTTTTTTTTTTACTGCTGATGTGAGGACACTTTGTTTTTAGTCCTCACAAAACATGTCAGCCAAGCAGGCAGATACAATGCCATTTCCCTCCTATGCTGTTGTCTGACAAAGATAATAACTACTGTACAGCTAGATGAGCATGAAGTCGAGGAACGTGGAGGCGTCTGGTCCATGAGCATGAACGCACAAAGAAAATCAGACATATTATTTAAGTTGGCAGACTCAACCGACCGGGAGTGATGAAGTACTGTGTAAAGATATGAGCTCTAACTACAGGATTCAAGGGCCAAATCGCATGTAAGCAGCAAATTGCACCGCATGTTATCATTAAAAACACTGGTGCAATTACAAAGCTGAAAAACATGTACATATAGTTATGAGATATAATACAGAACTAAAGAAAACGAGTGAAATGTGTTGTGTAAATATTTATATATAAAAATATAAGTGTTACACACAGTTTGTTTATGTAAAAACAATAAATGTATCCAAACTATAATATTTATCAATACATAAATTAAACTCTTCTCATGATTTATATAAAAATATATTTTAACAATAATAAAAAATAAAACATTAACCTCATCTATCAGAGAAACTTCCCCTGGGTGAGCACAGAGGTCACTAGATGTGCAGCTGAGTCTGTTCAGTGTTGCAGAAACTCTCTGGTGGTTCAGACTGGACCAGAAACCAGACAGTCATCTACAGGGAATGTCTTTTGTGTGTGTGTGTGTGTGTGTGTGTGTGTGTGTGTGTGTGTGTGTGTGTGTGTGTGTGTGTGTGTGTGTGTGTCTGTCCTTTGTATGACTGCCCATATGCCAACTTGGTCGGCGCAACCAGCTGACCCTGCGCAATACCAAAACCTTATCATATCTGCAGCTGCAGTGCGTGAGCTAAATGTATGTCCTACATATACCGTGTCCTTGTAAGAGATTTTCAGGTGTGACGGCAACTGAGCATGAACACATTTCTTTTTTCATCATGTTCTTGCCTTGAAGAGCTATGGAGCAAAAGCAACACGTCAGCAGCACAAAAGCAGCTGGATCCTGGCTCTACGCACTCAGACACATTTTGACAGCATTCACAGCCCAATAAACAATAATGTCTTTTCACCAAACTCGACGCCTAAGAAGCTGCTTTGGATTGAAGCTATGCGTGAGCGTTATGTGGCTGGTGTAGAAAACTGCACGCTTACGTGGAATGTGGCTGACACATCTGGTGTCTAGTGGATTTTCATATTATATTAAATACACAATGTATAACAATATATAGCAAGGTTGCATAATCAGATTTCCCTCTCATTCTAAACTGTATGAATACTACTAACTCTGATACACATATTTCTATTGTATGTATGAATAAATCAAAGTCATACTTTCATTTACAAAGAAGCTGTTAAACTGTTACAGCTGCTGATGCCACAGTGACTCCCGGTTTACTAAGCAGTTGATTGCCTTTGACAGTGCTACAGATGTTTCCTAGCAACCATTTCACAAATACTTTAGCCTTTAGAAGCTGAGCCGTTCCTTAAGTTTCAATGGAGCAAACCTTTTTTCGTGGGTCAACCCAGGAGTTTACACACTAATTGAGTAATGGACTTATAAGTAGCTGTGTGCTATTTCCTACAGTGCATATTCTACTTACACTTTCTCTGGGCTTGTAAGAGTCAACAATATGCATCAGTGTCAGAAAACCTTACTTAATGGTACTTTAAATTTCTCACTTAGTCACTGCATTAAATAACCTCAATCCTCTATATACCTTCACACATGTCCCTGGTTATCAGCTAACCTGCTCTATACAGAGTTTAGAATCAATCTCCATTTCAGTCCATGTACTTAAAGTTAGGGGTGGACAGTAACAGTACACTTACTTGAGTACTGTACTTACAGTAAGTATATTTTTCAAGTATCTATACTTTACTTGAGCATTATTTATTTTGGAAACATATGACTTTTACTCCACTCAGCTCAGTTTGAACTTGGCAGTGGCCTAAGGATGGCTACATTAGATAAAGATGAAGCAGAAGATTCTTCTCCAGAGCACCTTGGTCTTATCTTAAGTCTATGTTTGACATTTTAGAAATCAAGAAAGATTCCTGTAGTTTTAAAGGTTTGCTGTGTTTACCACGACCAAACTTCATCGCTGCCTACAAAACTTAAACGTCCCGACTTGAGAAGGCAAGTCGAGGTAACATTTGTTTAATTCCAGATTAACTTTTACACAGACAGCTTGTAGCAGTTGCTGTTTTTATTCTGTGGTTGGTCACATGACTTCTGGCCATTTCTTTCAGCTTTGTATCACACTCTACGAGCTTTTTATTCTGCAGGTTCCACAGGTAAGTCAGTCATTCAGTAGGTTGTTTCAGTGTCAAAAGGGTCTGTGAAAGCACTTTCCAACAATACAATATCTATACTTTGAGTATCTATACTTTGACTCAGGAGTTGTGTACTTTGTCCACCTCTGCTTCAAGTACTTAAACTGATTCTATGAGGTGTACGACTGGCAAGCAATAATAAAGCCAGAGCTGAGCACTGTATTCATACCTCCTCCATTTCTGTAGCAGAGGTAGGGAAACCTCCAGACATTGCCCAGGCCCACAGCATAGCCCACGCTGGTGAGGACAAACTCTATCTGGTTGCCCCAGTTCCCTCTCCGGGAGTTTTCATCCTTCTTCACTGGCTCTCCTGGAACTGCTCCGTTCTACAACAAAGACAGAGAGAGAGAGAAGCTGAGGTGACTTCAGGTGGCGGGAAGGCGAGTGTGTTTCCGAGATAGTGCTGCTGCAGCGGGTCCAACGACTGCACTGAGGCAGGTGAGGACACACCTCACCTTCCAGCATAAATCAGAAATGGATGCTACGACGGAGAAGAGCTTCTTCAGAGGCCGTACTTGTTCTTGGTGTTCAGATCTTAGTGTAATGTCAGTATTATGCAATCATGGTGAACAATAAACATCTTTTGGGCGCATGTGGCTTTGAATTATTCATGTGGCATACTTGCACTCACAGTTATTAAATATTCTGTGTAAAATACTATCTCTTCTACCCTGGCATAAGGTGGGCCTGCTGGAGCAGACAGGATGTAAAGTGAAATCAGCGCCTTAAACAGCCCATAAGCATTTGGTCTTGTCGTCCTGATTTCCAGCCTCTCCTCTCCTCCCTCCCTCCATCCATCACTCCATCTGCTGGCATCAGATGGTCCCTCTCTCCTGACCTCCTCCATAACCTCAGCTGTGTCTGTCTGTCTGTGCACATACAGAAGCCAGTGCTCTAATTCTAATCTTATTTTCCCACTCTTTTTGTAAAACATGAACACAGGTGCTTGTAGAGTGAAGTAAAGATGGACCGTTTGATTTGCTGCTCCAGTGTCAGTCATGAACAAACTCAAATTATGTAATAATCTTGGATATTTCACATAGATTTCCTTCCATTTTGTCAATTTGGGGGGAGACATGGACACAATACCGCGGCCAGAACAGTCTAATTAAA